CTAAAGTCCATAGAAATAAAACATGTCAAACAAATTCAAAACACTATTTTATGGAGATTTTTTTTATTTATCCAAGTAAATAAATGTTCCAGGAAAAGAAAAAGAAAATAAATATAAGTCAGGGTGACCTACGTAAATCGAAATAATTTTTACAGCTTTTATTTTGACACTGAGACGGACGGACGGACAGACAGATATTTTTTACCGTCATTTGATTTTTCGGTATCAGGAACACACAAAACATGAATTATGGCTATCTCACGTGATAGATTTGTTTCTCTAAATTTGGTAACTAGATGTATCTACTTTTTCGTTACCAGGACCCTGTAATAAGAGTTTTCTGCCGAAAATACGTCGAACACAATTATCTGGAGACCCCGAATATGCCGAACCTTAAAGCGGTTTAATACTATCTCATTTCTAAAAGAAATATGCTTATTGTAGATTATTAAAGAACACAATGTAAAAGTGATAAACTAACATCACATTCGCACATGGTATTACTAGAGAGTAGCAAATGAATGCGATAACGTTGGGGATGACGGGGTTTAAAATGGGACCGTCAAATTATTCAGATATAGATTTAATCAATGGAGCAACAGACGGATTGAGAGAATCATGTGGTAACATGGATTTTACTGTACAATGAAAGTAATATGGTAATATGGAGGTGACTGCAAACAAGTCAAGACGACAAAGGGAAGTCTCATTCTTTTAGTTACATGTGTTTAAAGACAGTCAAATAGTGGAACTGTGTGAAGTTGAATGGACCAATAGAGAATTGGGGAACATGCTGCAGGAGAAGTGAATCAATATGGCACCATGAATCAAAGTGTAACAGACACAAATGGTAACTAAAGGCAGCAACGCATATATTCTTCTCAAGATCTTTGCATTAAACAAGACACCAAATATTCGCGCACGGGTTGTCCAGGCAGATTTGATGAGGTCAGTCCTGAGGTGTTCAAAAACAAAAACCTATTTTTAATTACTTGATCTGTAAAACTCGTCTGGTTTCACGCGTTATTAGTCAGATTTACTTTTCAAATCTCCGTATTATGCAGCGTTTTCAGCTTCCATCTGATGAACGTCAGCTTCTTTACTCTGTACGATAGGCGCAATCGCTTTTGGTGTTATCAAAACACATTGGATAACCCACGGTACATCCAGAACGTTATGCAACTTATACTATTGCCATTGCTACCACTTTTGTACTGAAAACACGTGTTAAAAAATGTAAACTTCAAATTATCCACGATTCTTTTTCGTTGATCAGAGATGACTTTCAAGGAACCGACACAAGTCTTTGAATTAATAGTGAATCCGAATTATGAATTTTGAAAGACCTGAGTACCACTGTTTAAAATCTAAAAACAGATGTTTGAAAAATTACCAAATACAGGTTATTACTCTATTTTAGAAAAAAATCCGCAAGTGTGTCAGATACAAAGCAACCAAACGTTCTTAAGGATTTTTTTAAAAAATTGAAATAGTTATACTTCACAGTGAGAACTATACAGTGATAATATAATATAATGGTTCATCGTACGAATGAATGTTTTTTTTCTTAGAATAAGTTCCATTCAAATCCAAAATAAAATACATATGGATTTTTGGTTCAATTTTATCTGGCCGACAATATAGGAAAGGTTTGATAAAGTAAACGAGAGAAAAGGTAACAGAAGAATTAGGTAATTTCTAAAGTACTTATGAACGCATATAACTGTAATGTGAATTTGTATTAAATAACGTTATGAATTCATGTACTTGACTAGGAAACGAGAAATAATTTTTTCTGAAAAATAAAGATATGAATGCTAAATGGTTTAGAATCGCGAGAATGATTGTAGGTGACATTTTACCCCCAAAAAGCAAACATTTTCTTTTCCAACAAAATATTAATTTCTTTTCTCCATCAATGTGCAATAAAATAGAAGTGTTTCATTCTAAAGATGGAAAGGACAATAGAATTTATCTGCTTTTAAATTTCTAATACGCGTATATGATATTAATGTCTTTTAAAATAAATAACTGGTCATCATCGTTTTTCGAAATATGTGATCATACATGAAAATCAACTTTATGATTTTCATTTATAAATTCATAAAATACATTTCTAATATGTACGATATTGGAAACATGACTCATTAAAGACAAATCGTTTGAGGTTATACGATTGTGTCCAACGTTTTATCATCAATATTTCACATTATCGAGTATTTCTTTTCTCTGTAATCAGTGAAGTTATAGAATTTCTAAAATTAATGTGTCACGAAATATTTCGAAATAGTTAATTATTAGTAAAACTTATTATAAAAAGAAATGGAGAAACGTTATAGACTGCAGTGAATCTAAGTCGGATCGGCTGATATTACTTACTAGTATGTGGAGAACTGAGACAAGTATTCTTATTATTTGGGTGATCGAACGGAGACGATATAATGCAAGCACAAAAGTGAAACGTGCAGGTTCTATGCATACGGTTCACTACTATTCGTATAATTGCGGATGGAAAAATGACGTTTCGACACACGTGCTTCAGCTATTTATTATGAATGTGATCAGGCATTAAGGTAATGTCTAAAAGAACTTGATTTACGTAATGTTGCTTGCAGATAATTTGACGGAATTTAAACATATTTCCCAATAGAATAAAGACAGTAGCTTAAATAGTAGCACTTAATTAAGTAATATTTTTTAAATTTTATTTTCGATTCAGCAAGTCAGACCAATAAACATATTATACACGTTCTATCTGCCAGATTCATCTCCAGTCCTTCCTAGCGTTTTCGGCTACATCTGCGATAAATATACGAGTGTTTCAGATATAATTTGATTGATGGTGAAATGGGAATCCGCTGGTTAAATAGGAGTATCCCGAGTCAACCTGCCGTGAATCCTTCTTTTTCCGCAAAATTCAGGTAAATAAACTGGCATTATCGAAAAAAGCGCTCCAAGAATTCAAATATTAATTATATTATTTCTTTATGCATTAAATACACAACATATTGTTTTGTAGTACTTTTATGTCTTGTTCTGTTCAATACTATTTTATAAGACTAAAATTTACTCGGTTTTTCATAGTTTTTGCATATTACCAGGTTTGGATTTAGGTGAAAAAATAATTTTCAAAAATTATTACATCGAGACCGACCGAAAAAGAACAAGATATGGTTTCATTCTAAGTTGAAAAATACTATTTGTGGAAGATATTCATACCGAATCTTTTCATTACAACCAACAAAAATTAATTTTATAAATGTACTTTATTTATGAGGCATATCAAACATTCTGGGGTAGTGTTAATGTGAAAGACTAATTCAATTTCTGATGCATGTAGGCTGTTCCGTGTCTCTGGATTCGACGTACATTGCTTGTGGTATACACATCACTATTGCGAATAAAAGGAACTTTATGCCTAAGGTCAACCTCATACGCACGAAGGTTTTAATGAACGCATGTGCCTCGACAATGTGTCCTTGTCATATTTATTAATTTTTCATTAAACTTTGACAAAAGTTTTAACAATGTTACATTCTGTGATAGGTTAACAATCGCTCTGACTTTTGTACTGCCTGCCGCTTCATCTCAGCTTTTCGAAAGAGACCAGAAAGCGATTTTGTGTCGTCTGGTCGAGCCTGCCGCCCCCAGACCGTCCCACGGCAGCTACACTCTTTCGGTGGTGCGGCCGTTGCGGCTTCACAGGCCTTTTTTCCGACCCCATCTGCGTGGCTTCATTGTTACCATTGCCGTTATTATGAGGTCGTTGAAGGTGGTGTGTTGCACATTGTTGGGCGCTATAGGAAGGAAATGGTTCCCTGTCACTCTGTTCACGGTGGCTGTTGGGCTTGTGGAAAAAGAAATAGCCAGCGTCGTGAATAGGGAAGGATGAAATAAATTAGGACAAGCTACACCGATTTGTCTTGCAATAAACGTGCATTTTGTTCGGTGATTGTAAATGTAACATGTGAGTAAAATAACTAACTGGTCTGCATTTGTATTTACAACTCATTTTTGATTTTCACATATCGTCGTTTCTTCTTGTAACTTTTCGCTTTATGATATGAATTTATCTTTAAACAATTAAAATGAGTCTGAATATTCACCTATTATCTTTCTCAGTATCTGTATATTTTGTAATGTATCTGACGAAAAAAAAGAACTATAAATTAGAAATGAAATAATATTGTTGAATACGTATATCTATGGATGAACAAAAAAGTGAAGTTATAAAACACCCAAAAATAAAAATAAACCATTTAAAGACACTTGTAATAATACAATAGTACAGATCAAACTTGCACTTCTAACATAATGCGGTGGGTGTAGGTTCTGATATAAAATATGGAAATCTCATTGCCACAATTCTTGAAAATAAAGACGTTTTATAATAATTTACCGGTAATTTGAAATCTAATATTAAACTCACGAGGGATTTAGCGGCATGTCGAAACTTGCCCTAAATTATTTTAGTTGAATGTATACGGAAAAGAGAGTGCATTATCATCATTTCAGCTTCGCATTTGCACTAGAAGTACTTTTTTAGAAATCCGAAAATTATCAGTTATAGCCATGTGAAATAGTTTCAATCACAAGTTTCAACAGCCCCAGGTCTTAGTTCCAAGTTAGAGCGACACGTGCTGTTCCTGAAGGCCGAGAGTTTGTTTCTTGAAAATTAATACTCAAAGAGACCTTGATTTCCTAGTACATAGAGAAGTTACTACATTCATAATATAATAGTTTTTCATTCACAACCAATTCATTAATACATTCATATTCTATTCTATGTGTGATGAATTTGCTTTATTTTATCCGCTAGAAATTCTGAAGTTTGCAAATAGTTTTTTGATATGTTATTATTATTTCTTTACAATATTTAAAATTGTTTCAAGAAAGCAAAATTACTTAACTTATATTATAAAGGAAACAAAACATGGTAGTAAAGAAAACATGCATTCATAATCACCCAAAGAAAAAAAATGTTCACAAATATCAATATTGTATTTTCATAATTATACAGACTAATTAAGTTATAGTTACAATACTTCGTGGTAAAATAAAACGTGTTTTGAAATTTTGCGGCATTAAAAATATTTTCTTCATTCTTCGTTAGGGTCATCTAGGGACCACGAGACAATTTCAACACTTCCTTTTAAGTTATTCTTTCTTTTTTCTCCAGTTCTCCATCTCACTATGTTTCATTTTCTTCTCGTCGAAACTTTTTGTACCAGTTTTACTCTCTTTCCTTCCTTGATATCTTTCCATATTTTAGAATTTCTTCTTAAAATCAGATTTCACAAGTCTACGAAATGAAATTTGTAATAATCAGAAATAAAAGTATAAACATGTTTTTCTATACTAGTATTTTACTCAAATCACAATTTTGCAAGAAGATTTGTGCCAACACCCACCATTTTTTTACAATAGCGAATCCATTTATTACTCTACAAATAGGTCATTTTCCATTTGCTTTAAATTATGCCGGGAAAGCTTACTTCGAAATGTGATGAACTTCAACGTCCCATGGGAACTGCTTCAAGATCTTTTCTATATAACATCTAGAAAAAAATATGCCATCATGGAGTCAAACCAAACCTTGGTTCCGTTTCTTTGTTCTATGACGGTGGAATCGCTCACCTTGTTAATCAAGTCCTTGAATCCTCCTTTTTTGTTTTTTAACTTTAGTCCTTTTAAAAATATATTTCTTCCACGAGCGTTAAGATGAATAATAATATCTCACTGAATCTGTTTGTGGTGTGTTAGTTCAGTTCAATTGCACTGAAGGAGAAATTCTTCTCTTCGTGGTAAAAGTAATACGACTTAATTTACTTTCATTTGCACTTATTCGCGAAGTATTTAGCAATGTTCGCAGTTTGTTGACATATTTCTGAAGAAATTTACAAGCCTCCATTGAAACACTGCCTTACGCTATAACTGATATTTGTCAGCAAATGTATCTGTTACTGTTGCGTGGGTTGTAGGCTAGTCAGAAGTGAATAAGACATATAACACTAAACCCAGTACACTTCCTTGGGAGACGAAAGACAGGATGAGGGTAAAAGAATGATAGTTCGTTACTATACCCAATTTGGATAAATCTAATACAGAGGTGGGTTTTAATGGGACATAATAAGAGTATACAGGGGGTTTCTCCAGCTTATACTATTGTACTATTGAACATGCCCTACATGGCTGACTTAGAAATATTTAGTTTCTTCCAGATTTTTATTAATGATGATCATCACCTTGTACACTTGTTCAGCTGTAGATTGCTTTCTTCGGAATCCAAACTAAAGTTCAGGTACCCTATTTTCTGGTTTCGATTGCAGATTCCGCAGGAGCAGTATCTCAAAAGCTTCAGAGAGGAGAAGCACCAAAAGAATTGTTCTGTAGGAAGTGGGTTCTTGAAGAGGTTTACAAGATTTGAGAATTAGAATTATCTGAGCATATTCTCAACATTTTGGGAAACGCCCAAGGTATAATATTGCGTTGAACGTTTAAGTCATGAAGGATATTGCTTTTTAGGGTACGTTTAGTATTATTCTACCCGTAATTAAATCATACCCACGTGTTTGGTTGGGATGACAAGTTCTGTGGATATTCTGTATAACCTTCGAAGGAAATGACTCGGAAATCAGAGGTGACATACGAAGAGATACTCCTTAATATTTTATATCTTCATTGTCAATACATCTTTGCATACTGTGATCACTTACTTGGAAAGGCTGAAGCACGTTGGTTATACGAGGACAAAATATCATGTATCTAACTTCTGACTAGGTAAAAGACAGTGAGGACTAAACATTCTATATACGTGAGATGTGGGAATAGAGTGCAACTTGATGGCAGTCAGCACAAGTAAAATTTTAAAATGCACATTTTTATTTGGTATTACACTGTGGGTACTACTGCTTCAAATGACATGTTACTCTAAAAAATGCGTATAGTTAAAAAATAAACCCGGAAGGTCTGAAAAACCACTCCTCTCACATTGTGTGGAGAGCGCAGGTATAAAACAGATTTTTCCCGAGTAAACTGAGCGCCAACGGTCCAACTCTTATCAAAATATTCTACTTAAAGAAAAGGTTCCCTGGCTTCCTACTGACTTAAACTCACCACACAATTTAGACAACAAAATTAGCCTAGATTTTCTTAGATACCATGCGCATTTCTTTGAAAATAGGGTATATACGTTTATAGAGATATATACGTATAATAACTTCCAATGTGTTATCTGACATGTCAGGCAGTGAAAATAAAAGAGTTTTTACCAGCTCGTGAGAATATTGCGATAAGATGATGATGATATCATCAAAAACAAAAGTAATAATAATAATAATAATAATAATAATAATAATAATAATAATAATAATAATAATAATAATAATGTTTTTTGCACATCCTTGCAAATACAGAATATACGAAGAGCGAAAATAATGTGTTGAATCTTCTATACCTGTGTTTATCATGAAGTGGAACATACCACAAGTACTCTTATGAGCCTTTCACTAACATAGAAAACAATAACATTAAACTTTATTATTATGTTGAAATTAGTACCTAATTCTGAATATTTGAACTGATATCCGGAAGTTTGGGAAAAAGACCGAATAAGATTTATTCGCACATATAATTATTGAAATCACTCTCTCTTTCGTTTGCTCACGATATTTACAATTTGCGCTGTACGAGTACAAAAATAACCAAATAGGCGCCCAGATGGCGACCAATCTAGTTAAAAAATTCAGGAAATGAAAGAGTATTTATATTCAATCTATGATATTTGAAACTACTATAATATCAAAGTAAACAAAATTTCAACGGAAAATATTAACGGATTAGCAACGAAAACACCTGTGTTGGAGAAATGTTTGTGATTTTCGATAACACTAATCAACCTAATCAACAATACAAATAATCTGAATAGTGCTCTTAGCTAAGACTTGGTTCGTGGATTCGAATATGAAATCAGGTTTTGCCTATCGGGCTCAATTTTCTTGTAACACGCTACTCCATATCTACGAAAATGCTTAAAAACACTGCAAATCGGTTATTTTGCTTTAGATTTATTTAATTTTTCTGCATATGTAATTGTTCAGGAAATATAGAAAACTTCACAACAATTTCCTATGTACGATACAGATACGATTCAGAAAATTCACCTCTCGGAAATGGAAACGATTTGGCAACATGTTGATAAGTCATGCTCGAACAAATAGAATCGCGTTGTTTTTCTTGCCAGTTGCGTCCCAGCGTTGAGAGATCTGAGTACGTGGAAAGTGTCTGAGATGTGACTGCTTGTTGTTCTAGGTTTGTGAAGACTTGTGCTTTGTACTAATTCAGAAGACTAAACGTCTCGTGACTGTGTAAATATTCCAATTCGTTTCGTTAAATCTGTGGAGAATTAACTGTGAAATCGCAAAAACGGAAAGTTAATCCTCTGATAACAAAGTGTTACGAACTTTATTTCAGGTGTAAGTGTGGCGACCAGGGCATGAAATGCCCCCTCCCTCTTGCCATATATGCTGTGTGCTATACTTCTGGCATGCTGGTTATAAGGTTTATGACACATGTTCGTTGCTGTTACCAAATTTTGGAGGGAACCAACGGATCACAAAACAGAATGATCTTTTTGTTCGAAAACATAGATGGAATAACCTCAAAAACGAAGAAGACTGTGCAGAACCCTAATGTAATATCTGCTACGAGTATAAAGCTTGCATGTCATATTGAAGAATTGCCGGTACCACTACCTCAGGAGAATGAGAATGAGAGTGAATAAAGTTGAATGTTACAGAACATTTAGACGACAGAAGGAGATATTTATGCTGGCCCAAAATTTTAAGCAACCTGTGGCTCATATAAATCACATTTTTTGTCTTAAGGGGAACTCAATAATTTTTTTGCTATCTTGTTCTCTAACTTTGTCGAAGAAACAGACTGAGCTTTTAGCTTTGCGTCTAAAAGGATGCAATACTTCCCCTCTGTACGAAAGAGTTTTTCGTGTTCGCCAAATAGTTTATCAAAATATTTTTCCAACAAAACTTCTATAGATTTTGTTGTGATATCGAGGCCGTTATGGAAACTCTTGGCTATGATTTCAATGTAACTGAATGGCACTTGTTCACGAATTTCAGTAAAATAAGTGTGAAAGCAGTTCTTCTCCACAATGAGAACAAATTTCCTTCTGATCCAATTTTTCGTGTAGTTAACCTGAAGGAGACATGAACACTTTAAACTACTCCTCACACTTATCAAATAAGAGAAATACTAAGGGAATATATCTGGAGACCACATTTACTCATTAAATTGTGGATTGTGGGTCTTGTCAAAAACTGTGAAAGCCACAGACAAAACATAACGTGAATTCATCTATTTACGGGAGAAGTTTCGAAAGATAGTGAAACAAAAATAAAGGAAGCAATTTTTGTAGGATTGCAATTTATGAAATTAATGGGTGACATTTATTTTTTTTGTTATGTTGAAAAAAAGGCATTGCTGTTTTTCACAACTGTCTGTAAAAACATTTTAGGCAACCATAAGGCAGAGAACTACCGCGATATTGTACATGAACTATTATGATCATACTACCGCATGGGTTGTAATACATCATTTAAATGAAATTTTTGAATGACCATTTGGACGTCTTTCTTGAACATTCATTTGGACGGTTCAACCAGGATATTTCTCAATTGGAAAAGCATTATCAAGGCAATTGGAGTGACATAATGTTGTCCGAGTACCGCTGGACCTTAAGAAGACACGTTCCTCAGGGAAAGTATCGGAAGAAATCGGGAAAGAAATAATTTTATGTTCTTTTATTTACTTTTCTTAACAGTTACGTTGTTATAGTTTTAATATATACATTCGCATCTGTTATTAGAGAGTGTCTTATTGCCAGATGCATATCCTTAGGGAGTCATACACGTTTACAAAAATGATTCTCACACGAAAATTGAGGCCGAAATAGAAATTCTGAAAATAGATCTGCATTAAGAGGTAAATTATATTCCAGAAACAGTTTGTTTTGTTCTTGTTACAGAAAAAATGTTTTTGTAGACAAGTGTAACTGTCCTCTATTGCGATAACATTTGGAAAAACTGTTGTGACTAAAGTGCAAATGTATCGCTCACCCGTGGTCTGATGTCTGCAGACTTAATGCATCACGCAAAGGAGGGAGAAGGCTCAGACAATTTGAAGACTTCTCGTACATTGATATCATCGAGACGGGAAACTATGTTGTCAGTCATTATAGTGACACACATACTGAGACTGGTAATTAAGCCTGACCAAATGAGGGCG